CCGCTTCTCACCGCGCTGCTTCCCGCGCTGCTCAGGGCACGGCTGCGCGGTGCTGCAGCAACGAGACGCCGCCTTCAGGTGCAGCCTGAGTGCGCAGAACAGGATTTGCGCCTATTTTCATCGGTTCTCCTGAAAGGGTGGAGTCCTTCCATTCGGCTCCCCTCGCAGCTTGGAGGATGGGTGCATATCTCCGCAAATGTGGCGACAGAGAATAGTAACTCTTGGAATTCTTTGGGAATATTTTTTGCACGGCATCTAGCTCCAGGGAAAATGTTCTCGCTGCTTTGGAAATCCAGAAGATTTGCTGTAATGGTGCTATTGCTTGCAAGGGAAATAAAGCCATGCAGAAATTCACAATATTTATATGCGTAGCTATCTGCGTGCAGACAAGATGCTTCATCAAGGAATATGGGCTGCATAATTATACTTTTCATTACTCTGAAACGCACACTGCCTGTAACGGAACAGGAGGCTGTGGGGAGAGGCAGCAGGTATCAACCTCTTCTCGCAAGGCCACACAAACGACGCCGGGGCCGGAGTCCCCGCACCCTGCAGGCCTGCAAGGGGCATGGGGGAGGGCTGCTCAGCCCACCCCTCCAGGCAGCGCCCCAAGCTGCTGAGACCTCTCCCAGCACCAGGCGACACGCAAAGGGCTGCAGAACCAACCCTTCACTTCCCCTCTGGCAAAAGGGACCCGCTGCCCCGCGGCCAGCTCCTGGCGAGCTGGGGAAGGGAGGCAGGCACGCGTCGGGGCCACCAGCCCCGAGCACCCCGGCTCCCAGCACACGATGCCCTCACGACAGACGCAGGCAGTCCCGGACAGAAGGACGGCACGCGTGCCCCAGGCAGGGCAGCACATGCTTCTGCCAGCGATTGCCCCCATCGGGCAGCACCTTCAGAGCCGCCATCACTGCTCCCCTGGCCGCCTTTCTGCACTTGGACAAAACTTCCAGGCAGGAGAAGAGAATGGATTTAGGAAGCAGGACTCACAACTGCAATCAAATAGTCGAGAAGCCATGAGGAGTCTGGAAGTTTCGCTATGCCATCTTCTTACTCTTTGCCTTTGATCCAGCTGGGTGGCACAAGAGAACAGGTTTGTGACTGATGGTGCCCAAAGCACGTGGCTGCTGAGACAATTTTCCTCCTGGTCTGAGACTTCAGATGAGAGGCAGCCCTTGCAGAGCAGGCGGCTCCTCGGCACCTTGCAGCCTAAGCCACGCGTGTTCCAAAGTGCTCCTTCGGGAACACGAGACCACCCTCGGTTTGATGGCTGTCTTCTCCCTGAGCTCCTGGAAGACTCGCACTCACTGGAAGTGCAGCCTGGCTTTCCTGGTAACAAGTTACCAGCACCATTAAACTGAAAAATTACGAAGTCGTTTACCTGACATTGTTTAACCAAGTTCGTTCGCTTCCCCGAGACCAAGAGGCAACCTAATGCAGAGGGTCCTGCTTGCAACACGCTTTGTTAATGAGTGAGAAAGAAAGGTTGAGTAAGGAGGACATCTGGAGTTAAACAGAGGGCAGCAAACCTTGCCATTAGATTCAAAACCTGAAGCATCTTCACTGGGCACAGATGACAGAGGACATCCCTAATTCTGAGCTTACCTTCTCACCCCGCACTGACTTTATCCACCAGCAGTGACTTGGGAAAGACAAGAGAGGCCTTTTCCGTAAGGGAAGGGATCTCACAACAAAGGGGTCACAGCTCTCACAGCACCTTTGCTCAGGGCCTGGCTGGTACCTACCTCCTTTTCGATTTCTGCAAGGGTTTTGATTGTGATGCCCAAGAGATCAACTGGCTGCATCTGGCAAGAAAGAGAGAAAAAAAAAAAAAAAAGAAATGTCAAATTTAGGGGGTTTTTTTGTTTTAGTTTTGTTTGTTTGAAGTCAGCAAATACTCTATCACCAGAGACTTAGAGGCACCATCTGTAAACACATGCATCATCCTGTTTCTCAGGCCACCACAGGAGTGAAGCAGCAGAAGGCGGGTTAGGGGTAACAGCTCCAAGGCCTTTCTCCCAAAGCGGGGACAGCTGACACTCACCTCAGTGTCACTTTGCACAGGTCGCTCCTTAGCCACCTCCCTGCCGCAGGACGGCTGTTACGGGAACGCGCTCCGTAACACCCTACGGCTTTCGCGTGGCCGCAGCACGCAGGTGTGAGCGGCACCGGCTGTGGGAAGCCCCGACCAAACTGACCATATGGTGGCAATGGTGTCTAAAGGATCCGAGGGGAGGATTAGCATGACCTAATCTCTCCGCATTTGTCCTCGCAGCAGGGACTCCAGCTTTCTGGGAATAACGGCCCATAAACAACCCTTTCAGAAAGCAATGGTTGTGAAAAACCGCGTCCGGCTGCACACGCGGGTTGTGTCAGCAGGA